TAAAAACAGTGTTGGCTACCTCATCCTCCTCCTCCACCGCTGCTTCCACCTACACCGCCACGGTCACCACCTCCTCAACCTATGGGTCACTTAGTATGAACTATGTACACATTAGCAGAGGCTTGTGAAGGCCTTTTCTCCATGCATCAGGAGTTGAGCATTTCTCCATGCATCAGGACTGCAAGAAATGCACCTAATATAATACATTGCCCCTCTCTACCGCAAATTAATACACTGCCCCCTCCCTCCCTTAACCCCTTAAAACCAAAGGGCGTACTATTACACCCTATTCTAAGCGGCTCTAAACGCTGCAGGGCGTAATAGTACGCCCTCCGGTTTTTTGTTACTTACCCGGTCGCCGGCGATCGTGGTTGGGGAGACTCACCTGGGATCCCAGGGAGTCCCCCGCGGCGAATCCTTCCCTCTGCACCCCCCACCCCCGGCCATGTGAGAGTAAGAGACCTCACAATCACATGGCCAGGTTAGCTGGCTGCTGCATTGCCAGCAGGGGGACTGCCAGTAATGACAGTTAGTCCCCCTGCTGGCTGGAAATAAAATACAATTAACTTAAAATCAGTGTAAAAAAAATATATATATTTATATCATATATATATACTTTATATATATGATCTAAGTATATATATATATATATATATATATATATACACATATACATACACACACATACACTGTCTAGGTGTATTGTACTATTAATATATATAATTATATATAAATATCAAATTACACGTAGATTGATACTGATCAAATATATATATAATTTTTGTTATATATATATTGATATATAATATAAAAAAATATGTAAATATGTTAAAAAATAAAATAAAAAAAAAATTAAAAATAATTAAAAAATATATAGATGTGTGGTATTTCGTTCTAACTGTATTGTGATATTAATATATATATATTTAGGGGGCGTGTCCTGGACTCCGGAGCGAGCGGTCGCATGTAGCCGGAGCTCCGTGCGGCACAGGCCTACATAAGCTGCAGAGCGGGTGACCCGACATTGCAAGGCTAGTGGCAGTAAGATGTCCCAACCCAAACACCGCCGGCAAACCGAACGGGGCGAAAAATCCAACTTCTTTGGCATTAAAGCGAGCCAGACAAGAGGATCCGGCCCACATTGCGAAAATCAAGATGGCAGCGAGGAAGAGCCCATTCCCTCCCCATACCAGGCGGCTGCCGACTTACCAGTCACACAGGGGATCATGCAGGCGATGCTGGACACTATGGCAGGCAAGTTACAGCTCACATTACAAAATGCAATCCACTCCATAAATGCAGATGTAAAAGAGCTGGGGGACAGGACGGCCGGGCTGGAGGACAGGCTGGTGGCATATGAGGAGGCCCATAATTCCATGGCAGCAAAACTAGACAGCCTTACAGAAAGAATAGAAGCACAGGAGGGGAAAACCGCGGACCTTGAAGACAGAGGTCGGAGAAACAACCTCCGTATTAGAGGTATAGCGGAAAATATAGGCCCGACAGAACTCACGGCCTACCTGGTGGGACTATTTAAAGCGCTCGCCCCTGACGTGCCCCCAGACATGTTCCTGATGGACCGGGCTCACAGAGTGCCAAAACCCACCTTCTTACCACCTGAAACCCCTAGAGACGTACTGCTGAGAATGCATTATTTTCACATAAAGGAAGAGGTAATGAGAGCAAACAGAACCAGAAAAAAAACGGACATGCCGGCGGAGTACCAGGCAATAGCAATCTACGCCGACATCTCAGCATACACACTTAAACACAGAAAGGATTTTGCAGGAATCACGACGCAACTCCGCCAACAACAAATACCATACAGATGGGGATACCCGGTGAAGCTGATCGTACAGAGAAACGGAAGACCAACTACAATACAAAGCCCAGACGAAGGAATGAAAATCCTTAGAACCTGGGGCATAGAAATTCCGCCCGCAACGAAAGAGACCCAAAGACTCCCTCCATCATGGAGGAAAGCCAAACGCTAACTCGCCTTGCTGAGAGGATGCTGTGTCGCTGAGCCTGAGAACTGTCCATCCAGCCCTGTGAATCCAGGCTTGTATAACATTTGCTTTGTGAACTTTTCTATGTTTAATGGCAACGTAAATGGGAGCTACACTATAGATTTGCATGCAAAGACGCGGGGCAAGGTGACTGTGGGGGCTGAGGGTGTACAGGGACAGACGTAATCTGGACCAAGACTAGATAGGGGCCTGAGTCATAGACACAGTGACAGAGAGCCTAACATCGGGAAAGGCCCAGGCAGTGGAGCTCGTGTTCGCACAACCCCCCCCCACAGACCCCCCCAGAAAGCTCCGCCAGACTACTATAAAAAAAAATAAATAAAAATTTTCATTATATATTCATTTTTATTACACTATATCAACATGCATTCTCAGGACGCAGACAGCGACAGCTCATCCACGCAACTTTTACAAAAAATAAAAAAAAATAAAAAAAAAATAAAAGGGTCACCCAGACAAAAGCGAAACATGAGAGCAAAGGCCGCGGCCGACGAACCGCAGCTAAGACAGGAACCATTAGTTCCTACCCCCACTGCACCACCGCCTGATGCATAGCCGATATCTCGGCAAAAAAGTTGATTTGTTATAGTTTGCTTATTTCTGTTACCTATTATGTTTTTATGTTAGTATTCATGTGTGCGCCTCATGCACCCCTCCCACTTGCCATACATTCTGTAAGTTACCGACCAAGATCAGATAGAGCAGAGACCATGCCGCTCTCTCCCTCTGCACCGAGAGACATGCGAAATAGCCCTCCTGCTACCCGGGGACAGCCCTTAAGTTCGGAGGAACTGGGACACAGGGACTCCCCGAATTATAAATGTCGAACACAAGCACAAATACCATCTTATGACCACCTCCCACCCTGAAAATCTACTCACACAACGTTAGGGGACTGAACATCCCGGTTAAGAGACACCTCCTATACCGAGAGATCAAACACAAAGCAGTAGACGTTCTATGCCTTCAAGAGACACATTTCATGACCAACGCACACCCCACCGTCCTACAGAAAGATTATCCTATACAAATCCACGCCACATCGGTTAGCAAAACCAAAGGCACTTCCATACTAATTAGCAAAAATGTAGCCTATGCCCCGCATTCCCAACACATTGACCCGGACGGAAGATACGTCATTATAGTAGGCACGATTAACGACATGCCTTACACCATAGCGAACATATACGCCCCCAACACAAACCAACGCAATTTTTTACATAAAATTATACAGAAACTACAGTCAGTACAGCTAGGGACGACAGTCATCTGTGGCGACTTCAATCATGTATTTGACCCCTCCATAGATACGACGCTAGCTCCAGCTAGAAAGCGCAGTGCACCCCTCCGCAAACAAAGTAAAGCACTCTGCAAGCTTATACACAATAACCATCTGTATGATGTATGGAGAGCCACTCACGTAGGGGAAAGGGGGTACACATTCTTTTCGACAGTGCACAACACCTACTCCCGCATTGATGGCTTCCTTATCTCAGGGACAGGGATAGACCAAACGGCCCAGTGCGAGATAGGACAGATTACATGGTCCGACCATGCCCCGGTAGAGCTAACGTTGAAAAACCTCTATGACCCGACCCATAGAAGCCCGTGGCGCATAAACACAACATTACTGAAGGATAGTGCCTTCTGCACGGAGCTGAACCAAAACTTAGCCCAATATTTCCAAGACAATGATAGGCCTGAAACGAGCCGGGGTACCCTGTGGCAGGCCCACAAATCGGTGATACGGGGACAACTGATACAGCAGGCAGCATACTTAAAACGGAAATCCCGCCTCCAACTCCACACATGCCAAACAGACCTCCAGCGTGTCACGACACAAAACCAAATAACTCCCTCACATGATCTGCGGGAACAAATCATGAAACTCACAAGACAGATGCACCAAATGTCCTTGGAACAAGTGGGATACCACCTGAAAAGGCTAAAAGCACAAAACTACACACAGGGAAACAAGGCAGGTAAACTGTTAGCACAAAGATTAAAGACACAACAAGCAGCCCAAAAAATAGCATACTTGCTGTCTCCAAGCGGACAGAAAATAGTGGCACCCAAAGACATTAGCAACGCATTCGCCAAATACTACGAAGCACTGTACAATCTCAGGGACGACCCAAATACACCCCAACCACAAGGGGCCAAAATAGCCTCCTACTTAGACAAGATCGCCCTGCCCAAACTTACACCCGCTCAGCAGGATAGTTTGTCCGCATTGATAACAGAAACGGAGGTGTTGAGGGCGATTGACTCTCTACCTTCTGATAAAGCCCCAGGTCCGGACGGGTTCGCCAACTGTTACTACAAGTACTTCCAAAGAACCCTAGCCCCTCACATTACTAATGCTTTTAATGAAGCAGCCACGAAACACGCACTCCTGCCAGAAGCCCTCAAAGCTCACATCATTACACTGCCTAAACCGGGCAAGCCACCAATCCACCCACAAAATTTTCGACCGATATCACTACTGAACACAGACACGAAACTTTTTGCGAAAATATACGCCATCAGACTGGGCACGATCCTCCCACACCTAATAAGGAACGATCAAGTAGGATTCGTTAAAGGGAGACAAGGGGGGGACAACACGAGAAAGGTCATCGACATTATACATAGCGTTCAAAGGCAACATACAGAATGTGTAACGCTCTCACTAGACGCGGAGAAGGCCTTTGACCGCCTGAGCTGGAGGTTCCTGACAGCGGTCCTGGATAAGTTTGGGATGCCGGAGGCATTCTGCTCGGCGGTGGAGGCCTTATACAGCAAACCATCGGCACAGGTGGTCACGGCGGGCTTCACTTCAGAACCATTTAGCATTACTAACGGTACGAGGCAGGGATGCCCACTCTCCCCCTTACTATATGTGTTGGCTTTAGAGCCGCTAGCGGAGACAATACGGGCCAACAGCTCCATACACGGAGTAACGGTGGGCGACAGGGAATACAAAATTAACTTGTTTGCGGACGATGTCATGCTGACACTAACGCAACCCCAAATTTCACTACCAAACCTCATGGAAGTCATTAAAGAATACGGCCTTAACTCCTACTACAAATTAAATGTCGCTAAATCACAGGCTATGGGTGTGGGAGTCCAGTCTCACCGGCTGAAACACTTGAGTGAGCTTTTCTCATTCGACTGGAGGAAGGATTATATTACCTTCTTGGGCGTCCATATACCCCCCCACCTACCCCATTTGTTTAAGCTAAACTTCACTAAACTGATCAAATCATTTACAGACACGCTACACACATGGGAGGGTAAATATCTCTCGTGGCTGGGCAGATTGGCGGCGATTAAGATGTCTATACTTCCCAAACTCCAGTACCTGCTGCGCACGGTCCCGATAAGTCTGCCGGGCCCATACATGAGTACAATCCAAAAGCTGATCGTGCGGTTTGTATGGGCCAACCGCAAAGTGAGGGTGGCCAGCAAGCTCTTACAAAAACCGATCAAGGAAGGGGGACTGGGCATGCCCAACATCCGTTCTTATCATAGAGCCACATTGCTGACTGCCATAGCAGCGACAAACGCAGTAGAAGACCCCCCCCAGTGGGTCCACATAGAAGCACACTGGGCATGCAAACAGGGGCTGCGACACCTATACCAGCTGCCATATAAACTAAGACCGACATACACAACCATGCTACCAACCACGGCAGCAATGATTAAAACATGGGACTCTGTGAGGGCAACACTGGGCATGGTCGGACCAACTATAGGGAATATCCCACTCATGAGCATCTCAGTGGGCATACCGACGTTTGACCACACCCCCTGGGTGAGAGGGGGATGTACCCAACTTAGCCAGTTATGCGGGAACAACGAGTTACTGCCGTTCCCAGAACTGCAAACCAAATTCTCCCTGCAATCCAGACACATATTCCCTTACCTCCAACTGAAATCATTTGTGGCCTCACATTGCAAGGGATCATGTACCGTACCACCAAACATTGGCGCCTTAGAACAGATATGCCTACAGGGCAGTATACCCAAAAAAATCCTGTCGAAATTATATGCACTACTGAATACAGCAGATACGAACAGACACAGAGACTTTAGAGAAGCCTGGCAGGAAGACATAGGACACCCAATAGCAGACCTAGACTGGAAACAGGCATTCCAAACGCACAAAGGGCACACATCTTGCGCGACCCATCTAGAAACAATGAGGAAAATTATGTATAGATGGTATATGGTCCCGGACAAACTAGCGAAACTATACCCTGGAAGCTCAGGGGAATGCTGGAGGAGGTGCGGAGAAAGGGGGACAATGTACCACATTTGGTGGACTTGCCCGATAATCACTCCCTACTGGGCGATGGTGGAAGGGGTAATCACTGATGTGTTGGGCCGCCCATACAGCCTGGGGCCTGAACAGGGCATACTATTCATGCATCTTGCCCAATGGCACAAGCAGGAAAGACAACTGATATTCCAGGTGCTCATAGCGGCAGTAACCCTGATAGCCAGACAGTGGAAACAACCACAAGCACCCAGCAAACACGATCTCCTAACACAAACATCCACAAACTGGGAATACGAGGCTATGGCAAATAAATACATCACAAATAACCACATGATCATAGACACAAAAAACAAATGGGAAAAATACGTTCAGAGAAGCTCGCACCACTCCAGAACTCAGGACGCATAGGTACGCCAAGACAAGAGTGTTGGAGTAGAGCACAAAAGCCAGAGAGACGAGGAACGTCTGAGAGTTAATCTGGGAGGAGGTCCTGACACGTAGAACCAATGATGCATTGGAGGTAGTCAGGTAGAACCAACAACTAAGTAGCATGGGCCCCAAGGGAGGGGAAAGAGGTGCACCACTTTCAAGAGGTCTATAAACTAACTCTTTTCCCCCTTTTCCCCTTTCTTCCCTTAATTCTTTCCCATCCCTTCTCTGCACACCCTACCCTCCCCAACTATAGGTATTTACTACTTGTTATGTAACTAGGCAGCAGCTCTAGCGAGCAACCAGCTAGCTGGATTCAGATGCGCCCAGCCCGAATGTGGCCACCAGACAACCACGTGCGCTAGCTCCCGAGGGAGGAAGAACCCCAGACTCCTGCAGGAGGCCCGGTACACAGGATATGGGGGCGGCACAAAGCACATGAGATACGAGGCGAGAGCAGCACAACACACACGCCGCCAAAACTAGATTTACCCGCAGGCCTTGGGATCCAGCCACACACACATGTAGTGATACTACGCCCAGCATTCCAACTACACTTGCTTGACTCCGAGAGTACCAAACACGGATGAGTAAAAAGAGCGTTTAATGTGCTTAATGATTTGAAGTGTATATTTAACATTGGAAAGGTGTAGGGAAAAGAAGTGATATAACACTATGCGATGTATTATATGTATATGTACTTACCCATGGCATACTTGAGTATACTTAAACAACGTTACCCTATACCCCTCCCCACCTCCCTTTTTATTCTATACACGCCGATTTTTGATGTATGACAAATAAAAATTGTCAAATTGAAAAAAAAAGATAGGAAAAGCAGGGCTGACAATTAAACCTGACTAATGCAGCTTTGCCATGGGGGACATCCATTATTTAGGCCACTTGGTGGAGGGGGGGGGGTCATTTTTAGTGACCCCCAGACTGACAGATGAGCTGCATGCAGAGTTCAGAGTGAGATTTGCATGCAGTTTTAAAAGGGGGATTTAAATCCCCATAGACCTGGTGAGCCCAAAAGGCAGATCCTCAGATGTTGTAGAACTACAACTCCCATGATGCTTTGAATCTAATGCATTTAAAATGACAAAGCATCATGGGAATCTACCTTTTGGGCACCCATGCCATAGACAGTAATGCTGGGTGAGCAGGGTTAAATTCCTGTCTGCCAGCCGCCCAGCACAGCTCGCAATGTATTGGGCATATTGTCTTCAGTATTAGAGATAGGAGACTGCCATACTGAATATAGCCAGTAGATGGCAACAACATACTACTTTCAGTTTTAGTTTAGAATCCCTTTACCAATATCAGAATTGACATTATCAAAGGGAAACCTTTATGACTAAGATTAATTTAAGGATTATAATTATGTTTAGAATATGTATTAGGATTATTAGTAGGTTTATGTTAAAATTAGTTTTAGAATTAATTTTATTATTGGGATTATTTTTAAGATTCGGGTTAAGATTATGGTTGAGATTCGGATTAGGGTCAACATGGAAATCCCTTTGCTGAACTCAGCAAGGGTATTCCTCTGCTGACACCAGCAGAGGGAATCTGTCTAACACTATTGCTAAAATTAGGATTAATGTCATAATTAAGGTTAGATATGGAATTCGGATATTGGTTAGGATTGGAGTGAGGTTTATGGTTAGATTTGGGATTAGGATTTGGTTTTAAATGAGGGCTTGATTTAGGATTAGCCATTTAGTTTGTAAGATTGTTTTATTCCAAAGATATGCATATGGGCTATTGTTGTACTCAGCAGATGTTTGTTACAGAGATTTTTTTTACAGTCAAACACACAAGATTTTAAAAATAAGCAACAAAAATACTATATGTTTATAAAAATGGATACTAAAAACTTTGAAAACAAAAAGATGAAAAAATGTCACTTCATTAAAGCTCAAAATATATTATATGAGAGTCTCTATGGTGTCTACTTTTTGTATGCATTTATGGAGTAATTTAAATATATGAACTATTAAATTGGCCCATAATGCACCAAAGATCCATCTTCAATTTGCCATTTAAAAAAACAAAAAACTGTACTGGGCAGGATATAATTTCGAACCTGTATTTTCATAAACCTGACAATGGTATGAAAAAGGGTAATGCTGAGCATAATTTAGTGATTTTAATTACAGTAACACATATCAATTTTAAAACTAA